ATCAAAAAGGATAAAAGAATAAAAACACTTCCCGTAAAGGGTATTCAGCATAAGTCAAGGATCTCCTTGGCGTACCTTTAAAACCCTGACTATATCAAAATTAGCAGCTGCCTCGCCTTTTATTTTCCTATTACACTTCATTACCCATCAGTCATGCCAGTAATATGGCTTAACAACTTCCCCCACACCCACCGGGGTGAGCGCAGCGCCAAGGCGAGGTGTGGGATTGACAGCCCAGGGCTATCGTGTCACTGGAGGATGGAGCTGGTGGTGCTTTAATTGCTAGGACTGTACTACAGTAAATTAAGGGAAATTGGCAGCGAGGGGCCGATAGCAATGACATGTTGGTAAAATTGGCTCAGAAAGTCTCGTTACAGTTGTGAGCTATTATGGAGTGTCAGAAGTTGCTCTGATTTAAGACCTCTTTCAATTAGAATTGAGAAGTATTGAGTTGCCCTTAACTCGCGTTCAGAGTTTCTATTGCTTGAAAACGTGGTGTCAAAATACAGCTACCCCTGCATCCTGGACTTGAAGATGGGCACGCGGCAGCACGGCGATGACGCCTCGGAGGAGAAGAAAGCCCGGCACATCAAGAAGTGTGAACAAAGCACCTCTGCATCACTGGGCGTCCGCATCTGTGGGATGCAGGTAAGACAGAGCCTGGGTAAGACAGAGCCTGGGTCCTTTCGGTGTTTGCCCAAAACACGGCTTGAAACCAAGCTGGGAATCTCAGTAAAAGGGCTTTTTGTTGGTGTGAAATGAAGCAGTTTCCAAATACAGGCAGTAAGAAAAGCATCCCTTGCCCTCCTCGTGCCTTCGCAGAGCTGTCTCATCCTGTCACCACGAGAGGTTTTGTTTAGTGCTAAATATTACGGCTCCTCTTGCTCAGAATCGCTGCCCTTCCTCCTGGAAACCGAAACCACGCATTAGTTTCACTCACACTTCTCAAGCAGGTTTCAAAGCGTTGTTCAGCTGTGCCTGAAGTGTAATTATGGGGATGATGATTATAAAGCACATACATAGCAGCGTAAACACTTGGTGTCAAACCCTGTGTCCCTTTCTGGTCTCTGACATCCTTCTGTTGAGCAGATTATCCTTGAAATTACAACTGGCGTGTGAGCCAATTCTAAATTCCCTCCCTCATTTCTTACTCGGTGTTACCAGAGCCTCACATACAAATTGCTGTCTACATCTTGTGCTTAAGAAAGCGAGATTATTGCTTCCCGTGCATCACACATTGCGAGAAGGTGCAGAGCTGGGGTATTCCTGTACTGCTGCAAACTCCTACCATAGCCGGAGGGGAAAAACGCTGTAAATCACTGGTGACACAGCTATGACTTACAGCTACTTGTGTTTCACCAAGGGGTAATTTATAGCAGTACAACAACAATCTGCACTAGCGGTTTAAATTGAATAGTTTAAATCTCCGGCAAAGACAGGAGGTGTGGGATTCAGGGAGCAGCCTGCAGTTCATTGCCAGCATCGCTGGGTATTGCCAGGAGCATCTGCGTCCCAATCTGAATGCTTTAGATTAGGGCAAAATCGTGAGGGTTTTGGGGAAAAGTGACCAACTGAATCCAAGTGATGCTCTCTTCCTCAAGGTTTACCAAGCGGACACTGGCCATTTTCTCTGCAAAGATAAGTACTACGGCAGGAAGCTCACCCCGGAGGGCTTCAGGCAAACCTTGCGCCAATTCCTGTGCAACGGCAACCGCCTGCGAGCGGATCTCCTGGAGCCCATCATCCTGCGGCTGAAGGCGCTGCTGTCTGTCATCAGGAAGCAGAGCTCTTACAGGTTCTACTCCAGCTCGCTTCTCATCATTTACGAGGGACAGGAGCACAAGGAGAGCACGGCCCCCTTGGATAATCACCTGCACTTCCAAAAAACAAACTGCACCGCGGCCCACGGCACCCACCCCTCCAGAGCCGACGTCCGGATGATTGACTTTGCCCACACCACTTTTAAAGGCTCCAAATGCAACCACACCACTTACGACGGGCCAGACCACGGCTATATTTTTGGCCTGGAGAATCTCATCAAAATCCTTCAGAGTATTTCGGAAGGAAAATGAGAAATCGTGCGAAACAGCCTGGATTTACTCGTGACCGATAGCCCTGCGAAGAACCGCACGGGGTCGATGTGCGGGACCCTCAGAGCGGCTGGGTGTCACGTGCACGGTTTGCATTGAGAGCATGGACAGCTTGCTAGGAAAGCGCCAAAAAAAAACCCGCTACGTGCCGTTACTGAACCCAAGCGTAAAAAGCAAAGAGCCGGAAGAACGTGCTCTGCCTGCAATCAATCAGAAGATTTATTTTCCTTTCTTGTTTTACTGCTGTCCTTGATTTATTTGCAAGCCAAAAGCAAGCATTACTTGAAGGAGTCTTAATGATAAAACAGGACCTGCTCACCTCCACGCTCGCGAAGCCATGCGGGCTAAGGAGATATTGTGCGTTTGAGTGAGACTTAAAATGAGCGGGCAGGTCTGAGCAGATTGTGGTGTTGCTTTCAAGTCAGCTACGAGCTGAGCTCAGAGACGTAAGCGGGAGAGGAAAACACACGCCCTGGCATCCACACGCCCGGTGCTGTGAAACCCTCAGGTGTTCTCCAGGTGCTGAGACGCAGGCGCAGGAGATGCTGCAGAGGTGGAAAAGCAGAGCAGCCTCAGACCAAGAACCGGACCTCGCAAAGGTTTCACATCCCTGTGGGGTTGTGACAGGGTTTCAGAAACTTTCTACGCAAGAGGCTCTTGTAGGGCCTGGAAGTAGGGGAATACAATGAGATACCAGTCACAGGAACATTCACATCAAGGTATTTTTGCTTAAAAAAAAATAAAAGAAAAATAAAGTGGAAAAAAAAAAGTGTGAGATTGAGTCAGGGTCAAGGCATTAAAGGTCACCTAGAAATTCTTTGATACCGATGTTGCGTGTGTGTGTTTGGAAGAGAAAATAACAAAAGACTCAAAATAATGTTTACAGCTTTTGTGGACAGATTTTATTATTATTTATTATTATGGAACAACCGTGATTCCTTCCTGCATGGTGTGGGAAACCTGAAAGATGAACAGAGCTACAGAACCCCATTACTGGGGAGTGGGGATATAAATTAAATTGTCTAAGTAACTCTCACCTGTTGTCTGTCTTTATTTCCCTTCCACAGCACCCTTATGATTTGTTCTCTTTTGCTTAGGACTGTATGTTTTTAAAAAGGCCGTTATTTCCCCAGGTTTAAACACCAGATCTCAAGGGAGACCCACTCGCTTCCAGTTTATTACATACAGCTGGTGAATTGCTGTAATTTATAGCTGGAAAATTTAAGTCATCTGGCCCAGTTGTGTATTTTACTTGGCCTGAAGTCTATCTAGGAAGACCTCATAATTTACTGGCTATTGTTCACAGTATATTATTTACAGATGTATAAATATTGTTGCATATTTCTTGCCCACAGCTATAAAAAAAAAGCCACAAGCGCTGCTTCAGTAGTGAAAGGGCCGAGCCGTGGGTTGTCACAGCAGCGTGGTTGTGTGATCGATGCTAACTGTGGCTGTTACCTGCTCTGCTGATGGGGTTTATACAGCCCCACCTCAGCACCAGCACCACCACGCCTGGATGGATCCTTGGTGGACGCCAGATCTGATAGCAGGGAAGGGTGAAGGGTCCAGATGTGACACCAGCAGCCAGGTCCCCTCGTCGGCAGAGCAGAGAACCTCCTGCAGTTCCTCCTAGGAAGAAAACAGCGGGGTGCTTGAACAGTGACACAAGGCATCCTGCTTCCTCCCTTTTCACCCCTTATATACAAGCACATAATTATCAAGTATTTAACCATTTGCCTGCCAAGAGAAGGAGCTCTGTGCCAGCCTACAACCTGATGTACTCCATGTGGAGAAGGGGAAGAGCAGGCAAGACTTTCTAGGTTTTACAACGCCCACAAGCCAAGCATTAAGGTAGCTATTATATGCCTGGCTGCCTGGAGCACCTCAGGAGCAAGGTCCCTTTGCCAGCCACACATGGCAGGCAGCGCAAGCAGCAATCTCACAAATGAACGGCCAAAACCAGGCTGCTCCTCGGCTGCCTCTCAAAAGCACCGGGCAGGCCGTGAACCCATCGCGGGGCTCGGAGCGCAGCGTCGCTCCCTAGGCCTCGACCAGCAGCCCGGGGCCTGCGGGCCTCGCCTGGCAGCTCC